GTGCGTGGGGTGACTGTAGCGACAGGCGTAGCGGTTGCTGGTCGTAGCACTCGCGTAGCTCCTCCGTAGCACTTGCGTAGCGGTCGCTATGGCCGCCGCCGACTATTATTAAGTTGGCGATTCAATGACGCACGTCCTGAGAACAACGACTGCTAACAATCAGTTAAGCAGCTGAAGGTCACACGAAGGTCGCCATTGTATAAAATTATTTAAAATCTAGTATGACTACACGCCGCCGAACGCTTACCGGTCAGATGTAATGCAAACATTAAATATTATTTAGGGAATGCAAAATTGTTTAAGTTTAACAACTGGTACCACTGGTGGGTTACTCGTTAAAAGAAGACAGTACACATCAATCAAGAAATGAAACCAACGAGCTAATACCTAACACCTAAATTCCATAGTTTTAATATAGGTACAATATCAATCACGATCACATCAATCATTTCATCGAAGTTCAAGTTCGCGGAGTACTCAGCATGTCCCTACTAAATGTAGCGCTCTGTGGCTTCCGAAGGTCTCGTTAAGAAAAAGCGTTTGTCTTTTCAATTCCATGTCAGACAGTAAGAGTATCAACAGTTACTACCACTTCGAAAATGGTTGCATAAATGATATGTATTACCATAATCACTTTGGAAAATTATTCCACTTTTCTACATGTCCTGTAAGGAGATTCTGTTGAATATAGAAAATAATAATAGAAATGTATTTAACGAGCATCGATTAATAAGTTGGCCGAATACAACACTATTCAAATTGAACAATGCCTTAATAAAAGTCACACTCGACAAACGTTTCCTCCGAGGCAGTCCAGTGTTTACCCTCGTCGCTGTACACGTGGCGCTTGCGCGGTTATGTCCGCATTACTAGTGTGCGTGGACGGAACAGCACAGGTGGGCAGTGGGGTGGCGGCACTTACGACCAGTGGCCACTGAGCCGGGCTGACCAGCGGCCGCCAGTACGCGGCAGTGATCGTTAGCCGGCGAGCGCAGCGGTCGCGCCATGTGACGCGCCATGCCGCCCGCGCCCGCCCCCACCGACGACTCGAGCGCCTTCGCCATCGTCAACCATGCGGAGAGCGTGCCCAGCAAGGCGCAGGCCGCCGTTGAGCCGGCGCCGCCTCTGCGGAACGTGAATGTGGTCAAGCCGCTGCAGGTTGCGCCGCCGCCTGCCACGCACACTATCCTCGACCCCAAGTTCTCACGCGCGCTGGATTTCAAACTCCGACGGCTTAAAGAGAAAGAAATCCTACAAGCCAATCTTCGTCGCCCGACTCGGTACCGTTCCAAGAACGGAATACTAGCAGCCTCCAACCCTAATGTCAGCACGAGAGAACAAGCGCTGCCCAAAGTTCTTAGCCAATCCCATCCGCGCATCAACATTATTGAGCAGGAGGTTGAAAAGAAAATATCTCCTAAAATGGATAAGTCCCCGTCACCCGGGCGCAAACTCCGGTCCAGGAACGCACAATCCAATGATGGAGACAAGCCTCGGTTCGTAACAACTGTAAAAACCGGTCAGTTTCTGCTACCGCCGCCTGAGGTAGCGCGGATACTCGGCCTAGAAACCCTATACCCGGCTAAAGAAAGAGACAAAATTGTATACTCATACGCCAGCAAACCGAAGGCCGTCGCGTCAAGGTCGAAACGGTCAGTCCAAGAGAAGAAGGAGAACATTATCCCCAACGGTAATGTGGAGGAAGCGCGACGCGCGCGCGCCAGCCAGCTGTTCGGCGGCGTGCGCGCGCTGCTGGCCGGCGTGGCAGGCGTGCGCCATCTCCTGCAGCCCGCCGCCGCCGACACGTACGTCAAAGAAAAAGCATTTATTTGACAGTAGGCACGCACAAAAATACAAATATACTTATATAATACACTAGCGGACCCGACAGACGTTGTCCTGCATATGAACTTAATTGTATAGACTAAAATTCATTCAAATTAGTTCAGCCCTGTGGGATAACTAACCTAGACACTGACTGCAGCGCCATCTGCCAGGCTGATTTGTGAACCTAAACCATCCAGGGCGCCACTCAAACGCGTACAGAAAAATTCAGTTAAATCGATCAAGCCGTTTAGGAGGAGTTCAACGACATACACACGTACAGCAGAATTATATATATAAACATAATACATAATAAATAAGTAAATAAATAACAAAATAGCGACAATACAATTATTAAACAGAAACTAAATATTAACCAAAACAAATTATGCGATAAACAAGGCGTGCGCCTGCTCGCTTCCATATCACATGCACCAGCATTTTATATAGTACCGGCATCACCAACTCGACAATTTGGTTCACATAATGAAATGAATGCGTCTGGACTGCTGGCAATGCGTAGCCACTTGGTTGGTGTGCGAGGGGTGGCAGTCCAGTGCCCCACTTTAGGTCGCGGCGCGGCGACTCACCGCCCGCGTCGAGGTCAACAACACTGCTTTCACTTCCGCTCCACAATACATTCGCTTGTCTTATCTCAAATTAAATTCCAATATTTATTGCATGCGACGACCGCTATACTTGATCAAGTTACAATTTCTTTATACGGACTCCCGAAGAGTTTATATAAAGTAAAAAATGTAGAATGTAGTTAGGTTTCTTGATTACAAAAGAGATAAGCGTATCTAAATATGGAATATAGAAGATATCTTGGGTACGTAGGCCATAATAAATATAATGTCTCTGATGATAATACTTGACATGTAAAATAATAAGTTTATGAATGGTTTGAAAGACTGCACGTCGCGTCAGTGAAACATTATTACTTAACTAAGTTGTACCTACGACTTTGCCCGTGTTCCCAGGGGTAGAAAGTGGCATAAACATGTGTTACTCCGGATCATAGTCTACTACTGTTCTATATTTCAGGCCGGTCCCATCAGCCGTTTTGACGTGATAGAGTAACAAACAAACACACAAATTTTTAACATTTATAATAGCGAGTCAAACTAATTTCTACCATCGAGCCTACATTCCCTTAGTCTAATATCCAATGCGGGGAACCTCACATTCGAAAAACTTACACCATATTTACGTTCGGCACAGTAAGTGTGGGAGAGCCATGCTTCGGCACGAATGGGCCGACTCGACCGGAGTGATACCACGGCCTTAGAGATAACCGACGTGAAGCAACGCTTGCGTTGTTTTTCGGCGTGTGAGAGAGGTTACCGGAGGCCCAATTACCCTCCCCTTCCCCAATCTCCCCAATCCCTGAATCCCCAAAGATCCTCCAACTCCTAATCCCCAAAAAGCCGGTAACGCACTTGTAACGCCTCTGGTGTTCCAGGTGTCCATGGGCGACGCCGATTGCTTACCATCAGGTGATCCGTCTGCTCGATTACCAGCTTAAACAATAAAAAAAAATCGTGTCTACTGTGTAGAGGTCGAGCCGCACAAATGAATTCGTTTTAACCGACTTCAAACAAAGAAGGAGGTTCTCAGCTTGATTCATATGTATCGATGAGCTAGCGACTGATTTAACTGACATTGATGCGGTTTGAGAAAAGTGTTTTATACACTTACGAGAAGGTTTTAGTATAATAATTAACCGACTTCAAAGAAAGAGTTTGTTAAACTCATTTTTTAAACGACATTTATAAAAGAATACGAACATACGTCATACATACAGGTCAAAATGAGACCTCGTTTCTTTTTTTGAAGTCGAATAGATGTTTACCAATAGAGTAAACGTTGTGATGGCCCGGTGGTTGGAGACTCCCGCTTCTCATGCATGAGGGTGCGGGTATAAAACCTGAAAAATACCAATGTGACATTTTCCGAGTTATATATACATACCTTCTAAGTTTATTTAGGCACCACTGACAAACATTAGATGTTTGAAAATCCAATAATAAGTTTGAAATCGCCAACCCGCATTGAGAAAGCATTGTGATTAATGCTCAATCTTCTCCGTGTGAGAAGAGGCCTTTGCTCAGCAGCGGGCACTTACAGGCTGTTGATAATGATGTATCGATTAGATAATAATGTCACAATACATTTTCGTCCATGTGTTAATTATTTTACAGTTGTAGTTAGTATTATAATTTTGCATTTTCTATATAGTAGATAAAGCAGGTCTCACTATCTGGTACTACTTGGACCAAAATCCATACTGAAATGTGCGTTCTCCTTGCCTCAAATAAAAATTATCTCTACATCTCTAAAGAATCTCTAACAACTTATATATTTAACAAACGTCACTTTACCTTTCCTACTCGCAATAAGCTGCAGTCAGTCGATTCAGTTATTTTTATTTAATTGTTTATGACATAAGCCGGTAAATGAGTAGACGTATCACCTGATAGTAAGCAATCGACGCCGCCCATGGACACCTGAAACACCGAGGGGTAACGATTGCGTTACTAGCCTGGAATTTGAGGATTGCGGAGGATTCAGGGATTGGGGAAACTGGGGAAAGGGAGGAAATCAGGCCTCCGACAACCTCACTCACACGATGAAACACAACGCAATCGTAGTTTCACGTCGGTTTTCTGGCCGTGGTATTAACGCATGGTGTGGTGGCGCATTCGTGCCGAAGCATGGCTCTCCCACACTTAGCATGGCTCTCCCATAAATAACTAGAAACTTTTTAAACATTTGTAAGGGAATTAAGTGAAAACGCGGGTTACTCACGTGAATATACTGCGAAAAGCTCTACTAGTTTCGAACCACAGAGGGGTTCTTTCTCATGAGCAGCGTGCGCGGTCGCGGCGACGTCGCGCAGCTCACAGTATATTCACGTGAGTAACCCGCATTTTTACTTAATTTAGTATGTCTCACGATAATTATTAGAAAAACATTTGTAAGGGGAATCTCACACTGCGCGTGGGGTGACAGAAATGCCTAAACTAGCGGTGTAATCTAGCACAGCGTTGCGGTATAGCTGTAGATGCAGACTATACCCTGCGACAGGCCGCACGCTGCCGCGCAGTTTGCCAGAATCTACCTTCCTGTATACGAAGATAATGTTTGACCTCAAAGAACATAATATGTTTCAGCGGCAGTATGGGCGGGGGCCAGTACGCCAACGTGATGCACGAGAAGCGCGTGGTCCGCGGCAGCACCATCACGTCGCATCCGCTCGCCGCGGTACGTCGCTACTTCACCAGCCATAACATAATACATATTTTTGTTGACCAACAACACTTATAATAAATGAATTCGATTTTTACTCATTTACGGAGACGCGACGCGTTGTGCGCTGCGTTATGTATTCGTCGTACATTGTCGCAGCGGACCGCGTCATCGCTCGCGACATGCGCGAATGTACGACAGGCGCCCGACGCGCCGCGCCACCGTATACTATGTAGGCATGTGTTTAATATAAAAACACATTTTACTGCAAAGATTTTATTATCAGTTTGCAATAATTCAGTGACAGTGAGTACAATGTCATAGCAGTGGCAGTGAGTGTGTGATGTTTCCTTACGTGAGCCAGGTAAGGTCAGGTTCTCACTTATTCAATGAAAGTCAAAATACTTAGAATTCATTTCATTCTACACATATGTATGATACTTACTCCAAATATGCAGGGTGATTTCAAATATGTGCAGGGTGACGGCATAGAGAGCGCGGCGGCGCGAGCGGCGCGCACGCGGCGGAGGGCGCTGGCGCGGCGCGCGGCAATATCAGGTACCGTGCACCCCGCCGCCCGCGCCCGGCCGCCGCCACCACCCCATACAGACCGAGTACTACCTCGAGGAGGTACTGCCTATTGCCTATATAATTATAATACTTAATGCCTTCACTTAACACTTGATGACTGTTGATGAAGCGAAAGAGGTATGTAGGAATCGTAGTAATTGGCGTCCAATAGTCTCTGCCTACCCCCATGAGAGACAGGCGTGAAGATATGTATGTATGCATCGTACGTTGCAACTTAAAGCCTCTACTCTACCTACTTACTCTTGCTTTTGTTTTTTTTTTTTAATAAAACCTTGCCCCACCCTAAGATTATCTCGTGTCGTGGGGGCGTTTACAAACATACAATTTCACATACACATTCTACTTAGACCCGAAACAACAACTTATGGAACACACAAAGTGTTGCTCCGTGCGGGAATCAAGCCCATTACACGTTGCGCGGCAGCCGGTTGCCCAGCCACCGCGCTAAACATGCAGTCAACCTTTGTGAACAAATAAATACCCGCATACGGCAATTACTGCGCCACTAAGTCGATCTTAAGTAGGTTCTATCGTAACTATTAAAAGTGGTCTCTGATCCATTGTCATTCACATTTCATATTTTTTTTTTACATACACAAATTAATTAATTGCCTTCAATTGCGACACCTACTCGAAGCTAAATTCTGTTGAGGTTTGCATACAAATATTAAATAGATGTAGGTAGATATGTAAATAAGCAGACCATTATCTTATGCTTAGTAAGTTTACCATTTTACGAGCTTGTTACCTAACATATACATACGTGATAACTGAATAGGTCGCTACACATAATAAGTATTAAGTACTGTTGCAGCTGTTCGATAAGGGCGTGGAGATGGAGGTGGGCGTGCAGACGGACTTGTTCGTGGACCGGCCCGCCACGCCGGTGTACGTGCCGGCCAAGACTGGCGCCGACGCCTTCACGCAGATATACCCCGGAGACGTGAGCACACTTCTCTCTTACAGTCGCGTATCTTGCTGCGAACGTCTTCCGAATCTCATGGTGGTGATCATGTGCGTGCAGTTGTTCGACTTCGACCTGGAGGTGCAACCGATCCTAGAGGTACTCGTGGGCAAGACGACGGAGCAGGCGCTGGCAGAGGTGGCGCAGGAAGAGGAGCTGGCCACCCTGCGCGAGCAGCAGCGCCGCTACTGCGAGCTTCGGGACGCCGAGCTGGCCGAGAGACAGCGCCTCGCCGCGCACGACCTGCGCCTGCACCAGGAGAAGGTACAGCTGACTGCCTGCCGGCCGGGGGCGAGCGCGCGCTGTGGCTGACTGACCTGTCACCTGTCCCGTCCCGCAGGAGCGGCGCGTGGCGGAGGCGCGCGTAGCGCAGCTGGCCGCGACGGAGGCCCGCGAGCGCGCGGCGGCGGCGGTGCTGGTGCAGGGCTACGTGGCCGAGCTGCTGCCTTCCGTGCTGGCGGGGCTGCGTGACCAAGGCTACCTCATGGAGAGGATTGAACGCGGTCTCTGCTCTTACTCTCTTACATTTTACTTATACAAATATTATCAACCAACCTGTCATTACCCCATTATTGAGCAAAGGTCTCTTCTCACATGGAGAAGGGCAGAACACAATCGCCACGCCTGCTAATGACGAGTTAACGATTACTAATAATTAGAAATGTAAGTGTAAGTTCGGGTTTCCTCACAATATTTTCCTCCGCCGTATGTCAGTGGCATTAACGTCTTAGAGCTATACGTTTGAAATTGCCAGCGCGCAATGAGCAAGCGTGGTGATTAATGCGGAAACCTTTTCCATGTGTGAAGAGGCTTTGCACTTATAGGCTGTTGACGATTGACCCAGCCCCCCATTAAGCCCATGCACATCCGAAAATTCTAACTTGCTATTTTCAAATCCTACACGCGCAATATCTTCGACCACTACGATAGTAAAATACGCAGTAGGTAGAGTAATAGCGGCCAATGCTGAGGCAAGTCAAATAAAATCACAGCGGTGTAATACTTGCAGGTATCGATGAGGAGTTCATGCCGTGGCTTGTGGACGAAGTGTCGAAAGAAATCGAGTCTATCATTACGAGCCGTGACGTCATCATAGGTAAGCGAGCTGCAAACTGAGACAGTGAGGAGTGTGTTGAGTGCAACGTGTGACGCGCCGCGTGTCCACAGAGATCGTCCGCGACGTGGTGGAGGCGCGCGCCGAGCTGTACCGCGCGGCGGGCGAGCGCGCGGCCGAGCAGGTCGAGCCCGCCGAGTCCATCACGCCGCCCTCGCAGCCCGAGCCCGAGCACGAGGAGGAGCGTGAGTACCGCCACCTGTCGCCGCGCGCCGCCACAAGTGCGCCGCAGCCCGCGCCGCGCCGCGATTCGCGCCACCTCGCACGTGCGCCCCATCCGCTACGGTCACGCGTCGACCCGTCACTTTCGTTACCATCATACCATTCATATTAGCCGATATCGAAGCATCAAGCAAAATTCAATTCTATAATACCAGCTCTACAAAACATAATCTCGTGGCAAAGTTTAATCAGCTTGTCACATGAATGGCACACTAACGGACGCTAACGCTGAATGTGTGAATGTGTGCGGTGCACGGTGGGGGGGAAGCACACAAAGCGTTTAGAGTCGCGGTCGCGAACAATTAAGATTGATACGCTGTGATGACATTATAATAACGTTTTGATGCGGCTCACATTTGAATGAGTTAGTTAAGAGTATTAGGCAGTTTATGTACTGCGCGCGAAACGGTGCCCGCGCACGTGCGTATGCGCACTGCCCACTTGCTGCGCACAACATCAACTCTTCGCATTACACTCAGATTTTATATCAACAATTTCGTGATATAATGATATTAAATTATTATTTTCTTCTACTGCATTTGCAGATTTAGAATTATAACTACTACTTATATTATGGGCATAACTACTACTTAACTAAAAGATAGTATTCCTGGCATGACAGCACAATGTACAAAAAATATACTGTGGTGATCTTTAAAATCTTTAAATATCTTATTAAATATTTATTTATATTATTGTTACGTAAAATGACGAGAGAATCACAGACACATAACGTTACGACGTGCGCGGGCAGCGTGCTACAGTGACAGTCAGGTGGCGAGCTAGAGGTGCTAGTGGTGCTCCACGAGAGATGCACTATACAGGCACCACTGCCAGGAGATGGCAACAATCTAGTCGTATACAGTATTGTTGTGGCAACAGTCGATGCCTGTCTACTGCATCATTGATTATATTGCCAGAGTTGCGATGGTACTTTAGATAAGAAGTTAATGTTGTTTAGTGCAACATTGCAATCAGTAGATTTTATCGTCGCACTGCAAACCACACGTGCTCCGATCGAGTGTGCGATAACTGCAGTATGCTCAGGGCACTACTAACAATAGGTCGGCTCCCCTGCCTGCAGTACAGGCGACACCACGTAATTCATAATTATTAAGTTTATTCCACAAGTTCCAACCACACAAAGTGTCAGTCGCCGCGCTCTCGCTGCATTTAGTGTTATCTGTGTACGCACATTAGTGCGCCTCTTAAACAACAATTACGAGTAACACGTGGCTTCTGACATGGACTCGCCTCCGACCACTGTCACGACGTCACGCACGCTAATCTAAAATAACCATTCGCTTAGTGACATACAACTCATTTTACAACGGACCCAAGCACTGTTTGTGCAGCTGCGCTTCCCATTCAAACGTGACGAATATTTTTTCCATCGGATCCACACAATACAATAATAATGTAAAGAGCTTAAATGTTACATTAAAAGTACTCAGCGAAATTAGTGTGGAGGCGCTTGATATGACATTGTGCTTGATGGGCCTGTCTTCTATGGGGGTAGGCAGGCGCTATGGAACGCCAATTGCTACATTCTTACATGTCTATTCCGTTTCATGAACAGTCATTAGTCTTTTTATGCATACTCGTCGACCAAGTGTACTCTTGAGGCCCTTCTTTAATACCAATCTGGTCGATATATGTCCGTCTAGGGCGACCTCTACCGACGGCCCTATTCATATGCGCTCTGGATTACGCTACATTCATCATTTCATCCCTTACGGGATACACATAACAATAACCGTCCCAACAAAGACATTACGACGACAGATTGTGTCAGCACCACCGCGAATGTAGCGGAGACTGTAGCAGGTCTACACCGCGCCGCGCCGCGCCTTGCTACGCCAGTCATAGCCGTAGCAAATGTATCTACGCAAGTTACATGCTACGAACGAACGCACTATATGTACTCTGCTACGAAAACTTGTTACTGCTAAATAGCTTTTAAAAATACATAATAGGAGTTCTTAACAATAAAAGTAATGAATAAAATAGATTTTAATGTTTATGCCAATGTTTGGATGAGGTGCTATGATGCCATCATATATTTTTATTATTGTTTTCTTTGCTTTGTCCGACTATTACTGAAATCTTTTATTACTATAGAAATGTAAAGCACGTGCGAACCATAATTTACTATTAAAAAATGTCGTTCTAAGGCACACTTTAGCTTACTGCCTCGCCTCTGTAAACAATTCTGTTTTATTTCAGCGGAAGAATAACTGCCGACGACAAAATGAGGACAACTACGTGCTCAAGTGTTGTGTGCCTTGACTTGTGATCGCTGCGCGTAGTCAACTACGGACTTTAATTTGATTAGTTTCTATACTAAATTGTACGTCTTTACTAAAATTACACTAGCCATGAACCTGACATTGATGATCGGCAGAAGTTTGACGGCAACGCGGTGCTCACGGCAGGCAGCGCCTCTGTCCCGCCGACAATTAGGACGGTTCTCGTAGTTGTAGTGTCAGTAGGTACAGGCGAAGCGAGATGTGCTGCCCACCCTATATCTAGTGTATCTACTTAATTATACACATTATTATTTTTATTCCGTATCCGTGCTCATACAATGATGTAGGTTTAGGATAACCACGGCCACCTCCACGGCAGAATCACGGCCGGTGCACGGTGAACCAACATATTATGTAGGTACATATGTAGCTAAGTGCACTGTACATTTGGTACATAACTAAAGTGTAGCTGCAAAAATGGGCTAGTTATAAATAAATGAAACAACCTTACATTTCGGAGACGACATCAAAGGCGCTGCAGCTTTAGGCACATCGGGAATATACAAAAGCCATTCTAATGTAGGTCCTACTACTACTAGACAATGCACATGAATAGGAATCTGGTATTTGTATGTAGATACATCTACATAGGATAATTACATCTACATAGGATGATACGCGCAGGTTGCCCGCCCCGTCTGTGCCTACGACTACGTTGTTACGTATTTATAAACCTATTTGTTCTCTTTAGACTTTAGATAATATGAATATTAACTGAAGCTATTTAATTACTTAATACTTATTTTAGTTGTTTTGGAGTAAAATGATGCCATATTATTCATAAGTTTGTTTTAATCCCATGGTAGACCTACCTGCCTTGATACTATTTTTGATCTCTGTTATAATCTTACAGTGAGATACGTCCATTTTTAGCGAGGTCAAATCTCGTTGAACCTCAATCTCGCGAGATTTGCATTCTCTAGATTGACATAAGGTTGCAAGCATGGTTTCCGGACAAAGGCTCTCGGATTTGATTCCTAGATTGATCAAAGTAGGTAGTTATGTCCTACTATTAAAACGTGGCATTTTTCATCTACGTGTCTTAATATTCGGTCCAAAAAACTTCAGATATTATTTTTTGGGCATATTTTCCCTTCCAGCGGGCTTCATTCTACCGGGTATAGATAAGTATCTTTAAGTAGGTACTTTCTTGCCTTTTTTAGTTTTTATGGCGAAGTATCTGCACTAGACTAGCAAAACGATTGTTTGTTTTTACAAATTTTGAGTTACTGTGTGCGTAGGTAGTATCTTTTTTAAATTACCTTCTTCTAAAGTTATACCTAAGTATGAATTTAAACGCCATATGTCAGTAGGTAGGGATGCTTAGTAGGTACTTAGTTCGACTACCTACTTAACTTGACATTTTTATTCTAATTAAGTATAGGTAAGTATAGTATAGGTATTTAGTTTCTTTGAGAAATTCCTGAATGCTAATAAACATCAGAATGTAGCACTACCCTACAGCTGCGTAACCACAAGCACAATACAAACTTTAATTACATACAATTTGCGGAGGGCGCGACGGAGATTTGGAGTGAGAGTGATACCACCCTCCGCCCTCGGCGCGCCCCGGAAGGGATGTTCGGTATATAGAGAGCACAACCCTCTCGGCGGGCACAGTTCGGCAGAGGACCGCGCGCACCTTGCGCCGGAGTGGAGTGACAAGTGAAGCAGTGCGCATGCGCATGGCAGCGCTGTGTAGGCGCGGGCTGCCGCGCGGCGCCGTGTCGCGCGCCTTCAGCGCTCACCTCCTGCTGGACGCCTGCAAGCGAACTGACGCAGAGCCGGTGAGTACCACCTCAGATAACGGCTACAGATAACTTCAGTAGGTAGCTACCTACTTAAGTACCTACCTACTCGGAGACCTTTAAGAAATCTTCGGTATTCCTGTCTGGAATATGATACATACCTACGTACGAGAACCCAGTTACCAATAGCAGACTGTACTTCATCAATCGTGTAAGCTAGACAGGTGAAATTCGGACAGATGATATGTCCAAGGTCCCTTGATCTTTATGTGTAAGACGTATAGGACGGTTAGCACGGAGGCCCTACCTGTGACTTTACAATTTTTACGTGGTCAGTCGTGCAGTGTCTTTTGTACCTTTAGGCTAGTCATTCTGTCTCCTGCATAAATTAACCGCGGTAAATAAAAACTATAGTATTTTTCTTCTCTATTAATATCTTGATTTAATTCGTTGCGGTATCCAAGACAGTTATTCATGTCCCTAGAACGCGCCGAACTTCAGTGTTCCGGTATTTTAATGGTTGTATCTACTATAGACGACTAGACGTCTTACAGGAGTTTCAGCGGTATTGAGAGGAAGCGGTGGGCTTGTCCCATTAAAAAAAAAGATGATGTACATATATAGGTATATGTAGGTTATATGTAGGCTATAGGTTACCATACCTACCTACTATTGCCGTCGCAAATTACTTCAGAAATATCTTGCTCGACTTAGATTTCGACACGGTTTTATTTTTTTACCATACCTTTTATATTACTTAGGTACTAGTTTCTGGCAACGGCTTCGCTCACGTTCCCCTTGTTAAAAAGTAACCTTGACCATAATCTACCCATGTCCCACCGGAGGTTATACGCCCCGGAGGTTATACGCCGGGGTCGTGCAGTCCATGGCCCTCTACGGCGCCCCTGTGTGGGCGCCGTAGAGGGCCTGATGCGGAGCCTGATGCGGAACCCGCTCGGGCGCTGCTCATGTCACAGAGTCATGGCGATCCGAATGATCCGCGGGTACCGCAGGATCTCCGGGGAGGCGGCGAACCTTCTTGCCGGATTACTGTCGTGGGATCTGAAGGCGAAACGTGCTCGCGTGCGTTTATCGCATGCGATTCGGAGTCGCGGAGAACCTAACGGGTTACCGGGGCTCCGGCTCGACGTGCAGGAGAAGGAACGGGGTGGTTTTTAGTCAGTATCCTCCCGCCTCACCCAGGCGGGAGCAGTCATTCGATGATTGTCCCCCCTAAAAAAAAACCCATGTCCCAACTTCCCGGTCCCTTCAGCCGTATTGATATCACAGAGTAACAAAAGTAACAAAACAAATTTTTCCCATTCATAATAGTTTTAAGCTGATTAGACAATCGGCCGGTCACAGCGCCGCCAGTTACAGCGTAAGGTCCGCAGCGGACAACATAACATTCGACAAGCTTATATTTGCATTTGGTACAGTAGGTAACTGTGTCTAGGGATCGAGACACACAAATAAGTTTGTTTTTTAGTGTAGGTATATACTTTTTTTGGTCTAAAAAGTACCCAGCGTGATGCCCAGGATATTAAAATATGATCTACCAAGTTTCATCGTAATCGTATCTACCGGTAGTTTATGCCCAATGAGGATGTAACTTCTCTGGTTTTCTCAACATTTTCCTTCACTGCTCTCCTCCTATTGATAGTAGAGGAAAGTGACCAGAAATGGAATAGTATCCCTAATATGGAATAGCGGCAAAACTAAGAAACTATAATTCACACACGCAAGAAACACTGTTTGTCTCTTTGTTTCTATCCCATCTGCGGGTACAGGCTGTGACATATCATTCGAGTGAGCCCTTTCGTCAATATTGCAGTGTTTTGTTTTGCCGCTTCTGCATAACTTTCTAACGTATGTGAAAGACACGCATTTTTCGTTTAAAAAGTGCACATCGTATTGTTTTTATAACTTTTAGAGACAGTTTAGATGTTCTTTTGTCGATTTCGGTGGTATTTTATTGTATTTATTTCTTAAATATAAAAATATTAATATCAGTTTAAAGTCGTAGCAAAGTCCAATTATGGAATGGCCATCGTTTTGTTTGATACAGACAGTGAGCCCGTTGCTTTGATAGGAAATACAACTCCAGACTCTGAAGATTCGGAGTGTATTTTCTGTGGTATTCTGTTTTCAAATGATACTCATAGAGAAACTGGTGGACTCTGGGCACATATTGATTGCCCCGGAGCAGAGACTGATGCCTGGATTTGTGACTTTTGCAAATACGTTGTGTTCTTTTCTATGTTGTCCCAACATTTGTAAAGAGTTTTATGTAAGTTCCAGTTTAGCTTTAATCGCATTTATAGTACTTATCCCATATTTGGGGTACTATCCCAAATTTAGGTACCTTTATTGTCGTTTAGTATTTTTTTAATTTTTAACACAGAAGAAATATAAGTATGAAATTCTTGTTACATTACAAAATAAAGCGAAAATAATTGTTGTGTAGCGTGTAGGCACAATAGTCTTAGTTAGTCTTAGGCACATTAGGTTAAGTTACTGTTTAAGTTCACTGGAGTCAGTGAGTCGCATATTACTATACTCTATAGTCAGTCGTTCAATAAACCTCGAACCAAGAACACGCATATTATTTGCCGACCCTTCTGATAACGAGCACACACACCATAACCGACAAAGTTGTAATTACCACAAAAAGTTATTATTTGCAACGTTTGTGAAAATTATGCGTAAGAAACAAAATGGTATTCCATATTTGGTCACTTTCCTCTAGTAATTGGGTGGAATGTCCACCATATAAGGGTGGCGCCCTGCCGTTCGTCTAGTAGTACCTACGATGGTAAAACGGACTAGGGGGAATAAAGTTGTGCAATTTCCAGGCATCTCGATGGGTTCAAGGGCTTCCAGCTGGCATTTAGACGAGCCATCCCAAAGATGGGAGCAGTACTCCACACACGACCGAACTTGTGCTTGCTGCTTGGTAAAGAGTGAACAACTGCTCCGGTGTGAAGTACCGTCTCACCCTCGACAGGACACCCAATTTCCTACCAGCAATTTGCGCCTTTAAACTTAATTTACGAGCCAAAGTTGAGAGTGGGCGTCAGAGTTAGGTACGCCGAGAACTCGAGAAGCTCGAGATGGTCTCGTATCGGAACTCGTACACTTCCTTATCATTTTGTACAGAATTGACCTTTACAGATTTAAATAAGTCGGTATAGATTGCCCACATACGTGCAAAGTTCTCAACAACACAAATCAACAAATTAACTCGTCGAGTACCGGTTTTGTAGACACAATTATAGAACAATAGGTTGCGGTCACCGGTGACCGCTTGGTGTATGACAGTTTAATTAACATCTAGGTATATATATCCCTAGATGTTAGGATGTTAGGAGGAGTTCGTTGACAGCTGTCATACGGATCACTACCTAATTGTTTGTCTAAATAAATAAAATAGTTTTTGTTTGTTTGGTGAAGTGCAAGGGGAATAAAAACGATATATAATATATAAACTATATGGAGTTATGTTATCCAGTAAGTGACAAGTGTTTTAAGGCAATCTAAAACAAAGTGGAAAAAGTGGTTTTATATGAGGCTAAAGTCGACGTTGCAGAAGCAATCTGTGATAAAAAACTACAGAGAACAATCATCGGTGCTTCAGAGAATAGAGTGATAAAATAAAAACAATCTTTTTAGCTCGAAAATCTAAAATAAACAAAAGTCTTTGTTCATTGACGTCGATAAAACAGATCAAAGAAAATATTACCGACATCTAGTGGCCAATAGCGAAATCATAGTGACATAAAAACCATTCACTCTTTTCGCGACTTGAAAACTAGGCTTTTGGCATACTGACAATTTAAGTGTTGCCATAGATGTTGCGCATATCTCCCTATATGTTTGTATTGCTACTTTAAAAAATTATCAATATTAAATAGGAAATAGAAAGCCTAGTATTTAACAAAGTATTTAAGCAATTGATAAATACAAATAACTATGGAAGAGATTATGAAAGCGTTACAAAACATCCAACATGACTTAGCACAACATAAACGAGACATGAAAGATATGGAGGAGAACATAAAAGACGCAATAA